TTAACTATAAATAAATTGGTGTTATGGAACAAATTGTAAAAGAGCTTTTTATAGTCAATAAGAAATGAATCAAATTTTAGAGCAGTAATAAACTTGTTATTCCATATCAAGTTAATAAAAAATGTTTGTTATTAATAATAGTGTAAACAATTTATTTATTTTTTTTTTTAAAATTAGAGTGGTATTAACGTCAAATTACTACGGTTTTGCCATTATTTTTGAGGATGTCTGTATGTTTATTGAAAGTATAAATGTAACAATTTATATTTAAAGAAACATATCATAATTATTTTTATAGAATAACATATATCGATTTTTTTAATATAAAACAGATTAAAACAGTTTACTTTAAAACATATGTAATAAATATAAAACAATAGTTTATTTCTACTATATGTATTACATTGCTATATAGCTTTAATAAGCAAACTGATTATGGGAACAGATTATTTCCAGGTGTATCTCTTGAATCTAAATAAAAAACAACATATATTTCATAGTAATATAATATAAGTATGATATAAAATATTATAATAATAGGTGTATAAGTATAAAACATTAATTAGAATATAATTTAAAAAATAGTACTAAATCATAACATTTCTGCTTATTGATTGAAATAAATATCGAATAATATAGAAATCTCTACAAATTCCGAATAGCAAACAAAAATTTATTCATAGCATTAATATGGAAATTGATACAAAATTTAAACCTGTTGTGTGCATTCAAAATTATCCTGTTTAGTAAAATTATATTGAACATATAAAAAATTTAAAACAAAATGGTGTAAAGTAGCAGTATTGCCCGCGGGTGGATTTTACGTGCTACAAAGTTCACACCTATTTTATATGTGTTTACCAAGTTTGGGGTGCAAATACAATTGAACTCCCTTTACAATATACCGAAGTTTTTTTATATATATATATATATATATATATATATATTTTAAACAGCGATCAGAACTTATGGGTTCTATGAGCTGTTGTGATTAATATCTTACAAACTATGTTTGTTTTTATTATAGATGGCAACCCAAACAGTTGTCTCATCTCTATGAGCTGAATTTTCATTATTACAATTATTGTAATAGTGATGCATTTAATTGGTACAGCAATGCCGTATTAGGGCTGTTTTCACTTGGAAACATATTGCTATCTATATTTCCAAGTGAAAATCGTTGTCACTGCTGCCTGACAACAGGTATGCTCGAAGTGAGTATCGAACCCAGGACCTCTGAAACAAGTCCCGTCGCTCTTAACCGCTTACCTACGGGCGAGCCCATATATCGAACTTAATACACATTTTGAATCACACTATTGAACATACAATAATCCCACTGTCAACATGACTGCCCAGTAAAATATCTTTCAATCGAGAGTTGAATATAATTTCTATAAACGGGCAAAGAAATGTGTATAACACAGAGTGTTGGCTAGACGAGAGTTCCAAGTAGAAATTCTGTAGGTCATAATGTATTTAAATTCGTGCCATAAAATGGAAGGCACGCGTGGCTGTAAAGTTATATCATATAAAGAAATTCACACTCGTACGATCTTGCGCTAGATCATGGATGGTTGGTTGGTTTGAGTCTTGGTGATACGTGGAATAAATATACGACAAACATGTATCGGATTTTTCTGAATTATTTATCAATATATTTACAAATACGTGAAAATGATTTGTTGAAATCTGTTAAAATAGCATATTCGAATGCCCAAACTAGTCTTAGGTTTGTTGGTTCGATTCCAGTCACCACCACGTTCGACATCAGGCAGATTTGATGTCAAATTTACACTTATATTTTATAGATTCTAAATATAATATCAAGTGAAAATCGCCTCTCGTGGGTTTAGCTTTATCATAAAATGTCATTACAATAAATACTTTGATTATTAACTTCCGGTAGGGTAAGTTATTGTAATGGGCCGAACATCGAAATTTTTATTTTTTTACATTTCTCGACGTCGTGAAGGTTTCTGAACATTTTGGAATACCTCAGAAAAAATGGATGTATGTGTGTGTGTATGTATGTATGGATACAAATTTCCAGTCACGTTTTCGGGCGCACGGATCAACCGATTAGAATGGTTCGAAAACATTCGATTCCTATTGATTGGGAGATGAGCTGATTAGCTTTTGGCAAAGGCAGGTCCAGCAGTTACGGAGATAAAGAGCAAAGAGTGCAGAAAAATACTGTAGTATAAGATCTATTGTTGCCATCCATTCAAAAGTCATAAAATAAAGTCAAAACAATCACTAAATGTGCTAGTTATTATTAATAGTGTAAACAATTTACTTCACTGACTACTGAAGTAAGGCGAATAAAAATCCAAGCAATCAATTTTAAAAGTTATGAAATGAACCGAAATAATAAGACTTGGTTGAAGTCACAAAACGTGCTACGTCCAAACTTCTACAGTAGATAAAAATTTGAAGCAACTTTTTTTCTTCAATTAACCCAGTTTTATTAGATTCAAGTAAAATTTTTCATACTTGATAAGTACTATTTTGCTAAAATTTGATTTAATGACAAAATTACTATTGTTGTCAACAAAAATTACAAAATATGAAAATGTGAAAACTAAATTTCACCTATTTTATCGAACGTCTACTCTATATTTTGAATTTTGCCTTTCTTAATAATATCTTATATTCAATCCTAAAATATTATATTCAAAATTTCATAAGTAAAATTTTTCTTAGTAAAATAACTTCCATAAATATTGGAAAGGTGTAAATACTTAAACATGGTTTAACTCCAAGCTAGTTGAACAAGGATCATTTTACGATTTCTGATCACTTTATTACTTTGCAAATAATTAGAATCATTTTAATATACTAAATAACAATTATTCTGCTTGATATCAATAAAGAACCACGTCAAAAATATGTACTATTAAACATCTATCTACTCAATATTTTGCTCTATGTTTCACCATAATATTATCTTGTGCTTGTATAGTAAGTAACGTTAAGGATTATTTATATTGATATGAGAAGAGAAACGTATATGACCAAAACCGTAATTGGCTCATATGGAGATATAGGCGAGCACCCGCGTTACAGGCGGGCATGTGTAAGTTCTTACCCAGGTATCCTTATAAAGTACGTACCAGTACAATGGGTAGGCTTTACAATATATCTAATGTGTATTGTGTAAAGCAGGCCAGTGGAATAATGACTCCTATTATGTTTGAATCACGACATACAACCTGGCACAATATGAGAGTACACACGCGACCAAAATCGAAAATATAAAGAACAAACTACATGTATTTTAGATGATACACATGTTAATACAGATATTAAGCTATTGAAATTGTTAAGCTATTATTCATAAATTCAATTAAATAATTCAATTGAACGTTTTAACTTCACGAAGGAGAAGACTATGTATTCATAAAAAATCCGATTCTCTAATTGTATGTTTTCTCGACGTTACAAGCCATTCTGAATCGAATGGGACCAAATTTGGAAAAAGTATGTGTGTGTGTATGTGTCTTAAATCAATGTTTTCTCAAAAATGGCTGGACCGATTTCAAAAATTTAAAAGCCATTCGATGTATCTCAATGAGGACTAGCGTTTAACAATTTTGCGCGACGATCAGCCAAGCCGTTTCTTTGTAAATAGCAGCAAAGTGAAAAATTTTTCGTCCACGTTTTAGTCCGCAGTTCTCAATTCGATCTTCGAAAGATATTGATTGGGAATCGTGCTGATGAGTTGTTGGTAGAGATCGGCCGGGCCGTTTTCTTGTAATAAATTGTTAAAAAAAAAATTTTCGACGATTTTTATTATTTTTTTAACGGTAGATACCATAGTCTTCTAGATCATACTAGAATATTACGGCCCTACGACAATTGGTTTAACTTTGAAAATTCGTCAAAGTTTGCAAAAATTGGCATCGTTTTTTTGGCATTTGTCAAAATTAGACCTTTCATCGACGTTTTCTCAAAAACGTCTGAACCGATTACAGAAATTTAGAAGCCATTTGATGTATTTCGATGAGGACTATCGTTTGTCAGTTTTGTGCGACGATCTGCCAAGCCGTTTGTAATTTGAAAAAAAGTGTTAAACTTTTTGTCCACATTTAAGCTTATCTTACCGAACCGATTTTAAAAAATCAAAAACTGTTCGAAAGATATTAGTTGGGAATGGTACTGATTAGTTTTAGGTGAATATCTACCGAGCCGTTTTCTTCTAATTGTTGAAAAAAAAATTAACCCTATTTTTATGAATTTTTTTTAGCGATATATATCATGGTCTTATAGAACTTACTCTAATATTATATCACGGCCTTACGACAAGTAGTTTAATTTTAAAAATTCATTAAAGTTTGAGAAAATGAGTAGTTTTTTGACGTTAGCTAAAATTAAAATTAGACGATTTACTTGGTATAACAATATAATACTTGGTCTTAATAAATATACTAAACCATTAAAATCCTACGGAAACTGGTTCAAATATAATAATTGTTGATTTTTGAAAAGTTGCTTTTTGAAAATACTCCGAGTTAACGTGTTCGCTTGTTTTCAATTATGTGTGATAAATCCACTTATAAATTAATTTATTTTTTATTGATTAAGTCGATTATTTATACATATCGGGAAGTTCGTGTAACTTGCCTCAAGGCTAAATACCAATATTAACTAGTTAAGCTGCCATTTAAACTGATCATGAACTGTCAAATGAAAACATAACCTCAATCCACTTTTGAGATCAACTCAAATTTGTTAATCTCTTAAATGTAATACAATATTTATAGTATATTTTACACTTTATAAAGCTTTGTTTTATATTAAATTTAATATAACAGTAATATAACTATCAAACGTTAAAATAAAACATGTGCGTTTTGTGTAATGTGCTTATGTAGAAAAAATGTACAATTTGAAAAGGCCTTTAAAATGTTGGAACCTGTTTTAGATTTTTTAATTACAAAAAGAGTAGTGTTAGCAAGTGGATCACCCAGGAAACAAGAATTAGTTGAACAATTGGGATGAATGTAGAATTGTGTCACTCAACATTCGAAAAGAACCTGATTCCAACAAATTTCAAAGGCATAGAAGATTTTGTGCAAGCAACTGCCCACGGTAAAGCTCAAGAAGTTTTCCAAAGGCTAAGTGAACAAAATACACCACCCGATATTGTTATAGGGGCTGATACAATGGTCACTTTAGATGGTATGCTTTTTGGTAAACCCAATTCTGAAGAGGACTCTTACAGCACACTCTCAAGGTTGTCGGGAAGAGTTTGTACAGTGTACACAGGAGTTGTAATCAAAACTCGGCGCAAAAGGGTCAAGTTTTGTGACAATACCAAAGTGCATTTTGGAAAACTCACTCCGGCAGTGATAAGAGCATATATTGCATCAGGAGAACCCATGGACAAAGCTGGAAGCTTTGAAGTCCAAGGACGAGGTGCTGGTCTTATTGAAAAAATGGACGGTGATTATTTTACAGTTGTCGGGTTACCTCTACATAAATTATGTGTCGAGTTAAATTCTTTATGAGAAAATAATTTAATATAATTATAAACGTCATATTTTGGTAAAATATTTTTGGATTATTTCATAGAAAAATTGATAATTTAATATTTTATATTATACAGATGATATAAAAGAATTCATTTTTAATAAAAGTTATATTCATAGATTTTTAAAATGTAAAAATCTGTTGTTTCGAGTACTGTACTTTGATTATAATATAAATTTGTTTCAAATGTTATATACAAAACTGAGCAAATTTGTATAATAATAAAAACAATTAAAATTTGTAATACAATTCAGTTTTGGTAGAACGAATAAACAGTTTAGAAAGATTTCCAATAATATATAAATTATTTTACAGAATTATTCAAAGTTTATATGACTTTCATATGATTTTTATATCAAGGATAGAGCAGGTAAAAAGGTTTACCGCTAATATCTCAAAAACAATAAAATTAAGAATTTTTCAGAAACAATATTTGTAGGGAGAGAAAAAAATATTTATAACCGTGTGTAAAAAGGTCCACCGCAAAAACAATGAAGTTAAGAATTTTTCAGGAACAATATTTGAAAGTAGAGGAAAAAATATGTATAACCAGTCATCACCTTGATTCTTACGACGTTGCTATCCGGAAATGAACAGCAATATTTGGAAATCCATATAGTTTTTCTATTCGTTAGTTTTTTTGGTTGTGAGCACTATTGTTTAGTTTACGAGACCTTTATACGTACTTAATTGTTTTATGAAATGTGTTGTTAATTTTAAGATAGAGTCGACATTTTTTTTTGTATATACCCTCTATAATAGCTTACATTGGGCGAGGTAAAACAGACCAACTAAAACTTTACCGTGGCAATGGTGCAAACATTAAGAAATAGTAAATAAAAAAATAAAATAAGTAAAAAAAAAGTAATTTTACAATCGATGAAGTAAATAAATAATTATTCCTATATACGAATAAATAGTTATTCCTACTCTGTTGATGATTATTTCTGACAAAATACCAGATCAAGGTTATTTACAATGCCGCCTCTGTGAAAAATATACACATAAAAACTGTATTTTGCATAGGTTGAATAATGTAGATGTTAAAATTAAAAATCAGACTTCAAACCTATTTGCCTGTTTGAATAAAATAGGACTCCAAAAGCAAAATATGTATATACTGAATAAAATTCAAACATCAATAAAACACTATTGTGCATTACTTAGTCATATTCAAAACTACATTATATTATATGTATATAATTATACATTCTTAAATTACTTTACTTACATTATTATTTACATTAGCTTTCAGCAACATTCACTTTCAATAAAGTAGAGATTATAATAACATTTTTATTGATAAGGATATTTAAAAAGAAATATAATTTATAAGGAGAAGTGCAATTAAATACAAATATCATTTTGTACATACAGTTATTACATATAGAGAAAGAACATACTGTTGACTTTTTCTGATAAAATACCAGATCAAGATTATGTACAGTGCTGTCTCTGTGAAAATATACCTATATAATCCCTTTGAAATTAAAACAAAACATTGGACCTATTTGCCTGTTTGAAAGAATTGAGAATCAAAATAGCAAAATTTTGATTGTCAATTGTATATGTTTCCAATGTCAATGATACACTATTTTCCATTGTTTAGTCGTATTCTAATCTGCATAATATATATATATTTATATATATATACATATATATATATATATATATATATATATATATATATATACACACATTATATACATATATTGTGGAAAACCGCATAAACCACAAGTACCACATAAGCCCTTCAATGTCTTTGAAATTCATTTCCATGGAAGCAAAAATATATTTTTATGTATTCATATCAAAAGTATACGTAAAAGAAATTTATTATATATTTAAAAATAAGTTGTTCAAATTGTTGAAATTATAATCAATAACTACTGACAATCCTGAAATTATATTTTTTTTTATCATATTATATTTTTATAAAAGTTTATATATTTTTTTTTTAATTAGTCTGTTTAATATATATCATGGTAGATACTTTAAGAAGATGAATATCTATTCTTTTACAAAGCCAACAGAGTCTCGAGCTACTCTGTTAAAGAACTTATGAAAATATACAATTATAATACAAGCATTACTTAATAAATAATACAATTATGTTAACAATAAATGAAATATAATGCAAAAAACGTATGAATGAGAATTAGATAAAAATAATCTTCACAGATGGTTATTAGGTTTTTATAATATTACGAATACTAGTATCTTTAATAATTTATCTAAAGTTATAAAATATTAGTGCTGTGGAGAGATAAGTAAGTGAATAAGCAGAAAATGATCAGAATTTCCTAAAATTTTGGAGATCTGTGTGAATTTCGAACAAACATAAAATGATGTGGGTAAATATATATCTATGCCCCTGTGTCAGGAGGATTGCACATCGTGACAATTAGTGACATCTATTGTACTGGCGAATCATAGAGCTCAGCTAACTTTAATGACATACATAGCGTTTGTGCATGGTTCAATAATAGTTCAATATATTGGTCATGGCGATAGAAACTTTGGCAAATTAATACTAAATTTTGCTCGTAGTAAAAAATATAAAATACTTTGATTAGGTATTAGTTGCATATTATTCAAATTTTTAATCTTATTATAAGTTTAGTAGCATGCAGATTTTTAGCAACATATAATAAGTTCTAAGACGAACATCAATATTCTAAAGTCCCCTAAAATTATATGAAGCAAGCCGACAATTCATTTTTTTTAAATCTTGTCAACTCTAAGGCCATTTGGTAGGCTGAGTTGAACTTCAGAATTCTATATTCCAAATTTTCAATCTAAATCGCGTTTAGAACTTTGTATGAGTACATAAGCATAGCATACGTACCGAATGAATTATTTATATATAAACAGAACTGCGTCGCTGAGGATTTATTTATGCAAACTCAAATGCGAGAAGTTCAGAAATGCGCCAGAAAACTTTGTCTGCTGTGAATTTTCAACATATACACAAACACGATAATGATACGAAGGAAACTGTCCATGATGCAAATGCAGAGGTAATAACTTTTTATGGTAATAAGAAAAATACTAATAGTAATGGTAATAGGTACTCTGCCAAGTCTATGAAGAAAGGACGATGGTTTTTCCAAGTCTTCTACCAATTCTTAGTGCTATGCATTTAACCTACACTTCAAAGATCTTTGTTTGTTTATCCAATTAATATTAGTTTACACTTCTCTGTATTTTTTTATCCTCCCCATCACATTACCATACGAAATGGAATTTACATTGGATTTACATGTGGATACTTCTAAATTTAGCTTGATGACGTAATGCACTTGAAACAATATTTTTGTTACAAACACCAGATCCAGGTTTTTATCTGACCCTTTTCTGCTGAGCATAAAATTTCGAAATCTCCTTCATTTCTAATATTTTTAAATAGTTGAAGGTTCTTGCCCATGCTGGTGTAATTGATTTGATTTTTATGTTTTTGTTAAATACTTATATATTGCGTTTAAGTCAGATTTTCTTAGCATTTTGACTATTTAAAATAATCTGTATATACTGATCAATAATTTGTTGATGTCATCTATCTATATTGTTATTGCTTTATCATTACCTTTAATTTATATTTTTTCATACTGTGCTTTTGGCGATTATTTTATTTTTAGTTCTCCTAATTGAGGAAACTTTTGTGAAAGTGATACACATAGAACAATACTTCTCATTAAGCTTAGGAATTTATTTTTGATTAGTTTGCCATTTTTAAAAAATAAGGAAACTTAAATGAGACCTTTAAAACATTCCATAAACTTAATGGCTAAAATCAAATATTTTGGAAAAATTAAATCTATCAAAAGTATATAATGATCAAGTATAGAATAGAGTATACTAAGGAATGAGTCTGATAGATACTAATCGAAAGCTACTAACGTAACGTAACGTAAATTACAATTTACTATTGATATCTCTCACACACTATATTGCACAGACACGAGCTTATTAACTCAAATTTTAATGAAATGACAATGTGTGACTCATCAAATCACAAAAGCAAATTCTGACATGAATTTTGTCTATAATATTTTTTCAAAGTTTGACTAATTTTTAAAATTAAAAGACTTGTCGTAGGCCCGTAAAATTGTAGTATGTTTTTAGGACCATGATATATATCAAAATAAAAAGTTTTATCAATTTTTTTCAGCAGTTAATAACGAAGATTCGTCTGATCTTTGTCCAAAACTAATCAGCACGAATCTGAAATATTAACTTTTGAATAGTTTTTGAATTTTTAAAATCGATTCAGAATTATTGGTTAAAATGTGAACGGAAAATTTTTCACTTTTTTGCTTGGCTGATCATTGTGCAAAACTGACAAACGCTGGTTTTTATAGAATTACATCAAATGGCTTTTAAAGTTTTCAAATCGGTCTAGCCATTTCTGAGAAAACTCCGTCGAAAGATCAAAAATCAACTTACACATACTTTTACCAAATTTGGTCACCATCGATTTAGAATGGTTTGATACTTCAAAAAAACATAACATTAGCAAATCGATTTTTTTAACGAAAACGCAAACTTTTCCTTCGGGAAGTTGTAAATTGTTAAATTATATTAGGACAGAAAAAAACTGAAATATGTTGGTAACAACATACAAAAAAAATTGAAAACCAATTAAAAATTTTAAGACTGGAGTTGAGTAGTAATCTTTTTTAAAAATTAACACTATTTATTATAGCTTCATATTATAGTTGTGAATCTTTTACTGGAGTGAAACAAAAATTTTAAATTATAAAAAATTATAAAAAACTGGGAAAATTATATTTTTCCTGAGAAACTCGTAGTTTTAGAATAAACAAACTTAGAAAATTATTATTTTTACTCGTTTGTTATGTAAGTAACCACTACAAAAATGATTTTTGAAATCATTTCTAGGAAATCCATCTAGAATTGTTGCGATGTCGGAAGTTGGAGTAAATATATTTGCTAGAATCATACGTGATGAACATAC